GATTATAGGCATGTGCCACCTGCCTGGCCTGTACTCTTAGTTCTTACTTGGTACCCAGGTTCCTGGGACTCAGCACTTCAGCCCTTAGAGCTTCATTAATGGCCTCTGTGACTGGCAATGAATGGAGATTCCACAGCAGGGACACTACCTCTGAGAAGTCCTTTTCATAAGTAGCCAGAATAAGGACCTTTCTATGGTGACAACCATGTGTGTTTGAAGTATTCATATATCAGACTTTTCTTTCTGAGGTATAGCATGAAAATTAGGTTCTTGATGAGAGCCATGATAATTCTTTCTGGCTAGGCTGCATGATTTCTAGCAGAAATTTCATGTTGTTTTGTTGACTGAAGGGAGAAGCTAAGTGATGGAAGAAAACAGGAAGCAGAATGAGGGGGGTGAGTGCTTCAAGATGTCATCCTGTGAGATTCGGCATCTCATCATGCTACTTCAAAAAAGACTGTCTTTTTCCATAATTCTTTTTTTTTTAAAGAGAAAGAGATATTTTTTTAATATTTATTTTTTAGTTTTCGGTAGACACAAATCTTTATTTTATTTTTATGTGGTGCTGAGGATTGAACCCAGTGCCCGTGCATGCCAGGCAAGCGTGCTACCGCTTGAGCCACATCCCCAGCCTTTTCCATAATTCTTAACATGTTATCCAGCTCCAGGGAGAGCTTTGGAGACTAGCCTACTAGCGTATCTTGCTGTTGTGTACAATGTGGGAACATGGCTTAAGAATGCATCCACTTTTGTCCTTTTTTTTTTAGTTTAGGTGGGATAGATTGGACTCAGGGGCACTCAACCACTGAGCCACATCCCCACCCCTATTTTGTATTTTATTTAGAGACAGGGTCTTACTTAGTTACTTAGTGCCTTGCTATTTGCTGAGGCTGGCTTTGAACTCGCAATCATCCTGCTTCAGCCTCCTGAGCTGCTGGGATTATAGGCATGTGCTACCATGCCTAGCTGCATCCACTTTAATAAGGATAAATAAATAGGGGTTACTTTGAATTCAGAGAATATAACAAAGACTAAGTATATTTTGGGAATAAATTTGAATTTACAGTAAGAATTATAATTACTTTAGCCAAGTAATTTTGAAAGATATGTTTTTTATAGCATCTTTATTTATTTCTTGGAAGATATCTTTTGATTGACTCAAATGTCTCTGACTCAAGACCATATAAAATAGCATAGTATTTGCATATAATGGATGCATATTCTCCCACATACTTTAAATCATGTCTAGATCACTTACACAATATAATACAGTGCAAATGCTATGTAAATAGTTGTATTTTTAAAGGAATAATGGCGAAAGTTTATTCATATTCAGTATATGTGCAGTTTTTTCCAAATACTTTCCATCTGTGGTTGGTTGAATACAAAGATAGGTAACTCATAAATACAGGATTCCAACTGTAATTGATTGAGATGATGTGCAGTTAAACTCTACCCTAGCTGTGGTTCTCCATAATGGCAAACATAAGAATTACCTGGAGCATTCCGAAATTCCTGATACCTGGTTTGCACCTCACACTAATCAAATCAGAATCTCTGGGAGTGGCACCCAGCAATCAGTACTTTTAAAACTTATGATAATTTGGATTTATATTCAAGGTGAGAATAAATTTGGGAATAAGTTTGAATTTACAATAAGTAAAATGTTCCCTGCCCCAGTCTATTCTTACTCCTTGTGCCTTGATCTCTTTTATGGGTACAATTTGAAGATCCATGATGAGGTTCTTTTCCCCTGGGGAATTTCCTGTTGTCTTTCCTTAAACTTTTCAAGAACCTAAGTCCCATTGTGTAATTTAACTCTAGACATCCCCACCGTCTTAAAAAGTATTCCTGAATTTTCTAGTCACACATAAGGCAGGAAGGAGGGACATGCACAGCAACCTTTGACTTATGCTTCTCTTAAAACATTTTGCACTATGATTAGTTATTTGGAAACAAATAGCTCTGATGTGGCAGCATCTGAGATATGACAGCACAGTTTCATCATAAAATGAAATTAGGAGCACTTGTGTGTTTCTCTCTGGGTTTTTAGAGGTGGGGTCTTGGGGGCCTAGATCTTCAGCCCCCACTCCCTGGTACAGCACTGGGAAGATATTAACATGTGGGCTGTTAGCAGTTGAGTAGGTTAGTGCATGGTTCCCACTTGCCTGGGATTTCAGAATGAGGGCTTCTGTGATTGGGTTAAAAGTGTTCCCCAGGAGGCTGTCACTGCAAATGGGCTCATTTTTTCACCAGCTTGCTCTAGTATATGTCAGTCTTCCTCCTCATTATACTATTTAAGCAGCATGAATCTTGAACCAGAATTTTTATTGCTCAAACTGTTTACCTTCCCTATCAGTCCCTTTCTCAACCCAGTCTTTTGCACCTGGTTGCTCCAGCCAAGTGCATATGGATTTTTTTCTCTGTTTTTTCCTCCTCTCTTTTGTCCTTCATGTATATTGGTATGCCAAGTGGATGCTGCCTCTATTTCTCTCCATCTCAATGAATGATGCTACCACCCAACCCCAATGTCTGTCTGTTGTCTCTCCCCTGCCCTTCTATAGCAAACTCCTAATTGTTCTTCCACTTCTTTTCACACCCATTTCCCCATTGTTGCTCCTGCTTCAAATGTTTCACTAGCTTTTTGCACTTAGGATAAAAAGCAGACGCCTGTCGTGACCAGCATACCCTGGCTCTTGTCTCCTGTAACATCATCTCTTGATACTCTCCATCTACTGTAGCTGTTATTTGCCTTGACAGTGGCCTGTGAACACTTATTTACTTCTTCCAAGAAGCTCGTATAATTTGATGCTTGGGAAATACTCCCTGAACTTAATAGCATAATGATATCATAATAATAACACTCTCTGCCACTTATTGAATGTTTTCTGTAACCCAGACAGTGTGCTAAGTGCTCCACAGACATTATCTTATTATGAAATTAGATGCAACAAGCTTGTGAAGTTGGTATCTGTCTTCCCAATTTTTGGAGAGGAAACTGGGGCAGAGAATTGGAGTGACTTGCCTAGGTTCATACTGTTAGCATGTGGGGGAGCCTGACTGGAAGCCTGACTATCTGATTCTAAATTGCTCTTTGGTTCTGAAGTGTCAGAAGTATTTTATTACCATTAAACTTGAAATGATTTCACGATTCTTGGAGGACAGTCTTAGAGCAAGCTCTAGAAGAAATCTCTCATTGAATTTGGAAGGAAACCTTAAAATATAAGTTAATTACTTTATTGGAGACAACAAACTTCTCAATATTTTATGTCTTACTGACAATAAGAGACAGGAGGGTGTGAAAGTTGCAAATAAACTCTGTAATCAAACAGATGGCATTTAATCTCAGCATCTGCCATTCATTCATCTAGATCTCGTCATATGTGCTAGCTAGACAATGTTCTTGGCACTTGAGGTACATCGGTGCTCGATCCATTGGGATGATTTAAAACTTTGTTTCTATCAGCTGTTTTGGTCTTGGAGGTTCACTATAGCATTATTATTCTTTTATTGAATTCACTATAAATCTGAGCCATCTTGGACCCCAACCAAATGGGCTATGTTTGAGCTAGTCTTGTGACACGTCCCTTAAGGACACTCTTACAGGAAGCCTCTAGTGTAGTTCGCTTTCTTCCTTCCTCCCTTTCTCCTTTTCTTCCAATTAAAATGAAACATTAAATTTAACTTTATTAGATGTAATAAACTCAGGGACTTTATATTCTAATAGGGGTAGCTCAATAAACATAATAAATGAGTAAATTACATTATACTTCAGAAGATGGAAAGTACTTTGTGGGGGTGGATAATAAGATCAGGATGGGGAGATATGGAGCACAAGAGCAATTGCAGCATTAAACAGGCGGTCAGTGAGGTGGGTCTCAATGAGAAGGTCCAGACTGGAAGGAGGTGAAGAAATTAGCTAGGTAGATATTGGAGGGAAGAGCAGAACAGGAGGAGAGAGGGCCTAGAGCCCAGGTCTAAGGAAGAGCATGCATGCCCATTTCAAAGTGGCCATTTTGGATGGAGAGGATTGAGAAAAGGTGGGACTGGATGATGTCAGGGAAGTTCCACGTATTTCATTGGTGACAATGAAGAGAACTGACATTTTTAAAAACACTTAGCAGGATCCCTGTCTAGTCACAGAGCCCTGCCTACCTCTTTGAGCAGTATCTCCTGCTGTTCCCCCCTGCAGACACTTGGCTGCATTTCTAACAGGGAGTTCCTTAAAGAATCACCAATGTCCATACTGTTTTAAACTTTTTACTTTTGCACACACCTAAAATGCCCTTCCCTTTCCCATTTTTATTGTGACACACTCTTTCAAGATGCATGGTGGAGCCTTGCTCTGGGAGGATCTCTTTGACTCCCTCTGAGGTGAGCTGATGTTCCCCTCTCTGGGCCACCATGCGTAGTTCTTATATGCACATTTGTTGTATAACTAACATTTAACGAACACTTACTATATGTCTTGGACTAAGTTGTTACGTGTTAGTTATTTATTTCCTGCGCCAACCTTGTAAGGTATGTCCTGATGACATTCCTATTTTATCGCTGAGTAAATATAAACATGGAAAAGTTTAGTAAGTTGTCTAACAAGATCCAGCTACCTGTGATGATAGGAATTAAACACAAGTTTTCTGGCTCCAGAGCCCATGTGCTTTCCTAATCATTATATATACTGCACCTCTACCATATTTACTATATACTAGACAACATGTGTATCACACTGTATTACAAATGTTAGTTTGTGTGCCTGTGTCTTTCATTACCGTTTGTGAATTCTTTGAGGGAAGAGAACCATGTTGAATTCATGATTGCTCTTTGGGACTTTGCTCACATGCTCCCTTGATTCAGCTGTGATGAGAGAAACATTCTCCTGTAATTTGTAAGACATGAAAAATATTATTCAAAATGTTAATGATTTTGCATCATTGATTCAGAATTGCATTTGGTTTTAGTTTTCATTTTAATTGTGCCATTGTGCTTCTCTTTCCACCCAGACCAGTATCAAAGAAGGACAGCTATTGAAGCAAACCAGTTCTTTCCAAAGATGGAAAAAGCGTTACTTCAAACTTCGAGGCCGGACACTTTATTATGCAAAGGACTCCAAGGTAATTCAAGTGAATGCTAGTTTTAAGGAATTGAGATTGTGGATATATTTAAAAATTTGATTGTATAAGCTGTTTTTGTCTTGTAGCCTCATGGTAGCATGAGCCTACTTTTGTATGGTGTTGGTAAAAATGTGATCCATCTTGGACCTCATCCCTAGGAGGTCAATTTCAGTCAGCCCTATACATATCCCTGAGAATCATCTTATAGGAAAGTTATAGTTCATCTGTCCTTGCCCTTCCATTCCTTCCTTCCAATTAAAGTAAAATATTAAATATAATTTATTAGCTATAATAAACTCAAATTGTTGGTTTCTCTAATTTTCTTTTGCTTTTTACTTTTAAACCTTTTTCTGGGGGCTGGGGATGTGGCTCAAGCGGTAGCGCGCTCGCCTGGCGTGCGTGCGGCCCGGGTTCAATCCTCAGCACCATATACAAGCAAAGATGTTGTGTCCGCCGAAAACTAAAAAATAAATATTTAAATTCTCTCTCTCTAAAAAAAAAAAAAAAAAAACCTTTTTCTGCCCACGAAGGGAGTTGTTAACAGTTTCTTCTCATTGTTGAGAAGAGGCATAAAGGTGATAATGCAAATCGAGTGCATATATAATACTTGGCACAAAATAATTACTCTATTATAGTAGCAAGAAGAATGAAAATCATATTGAAATAAAATCAAGACAACATAAATTTTATGTAATAGTTGAGTTAAATAATAATGCATTCTTGGAAGAAAAATTTGTAATAAAATGTCCTCATTAAAACTGAAATTATAGTATTATTTAAAAAATAAACATTAAGATTTTTTGCTACTGTGCCAGTTGGATAATCCCATTTAAAAAAAAAAATACATGTTCCTGATAAAGTTGTATACCAGGAGATAAAAACACACAAACCCAATACTTAGCTTATGCAGCTATAATAGAAGTAATAAAAAAATACTTATGTAGGACTAACCAAATAAAATAATCTTATTTTTAAAGTCAGGATATTCAAGGTCATCCCTGACCTGGCTCCATTCTGACTTCCTGTTTGTCTCTAGAGGCACTCTTTGACAGCCTTCAACCTTTGGGCCTATGTTTTCTATCTACAGAATGATTCTCCCCTTTCTCCCCTTGATGAAACCCTCTGTTTTCTTTATTGTCTCCCTCAAATAGGCCTTATCCCATCATTCATTCAGTTTTTTTTTTCCCTAGAGAACCCAATTTTATTGTGTCTTTTCTCTTCCACTTTTAACAATGTCTCTTACATTATAATTGGTTTTGTCTGTTTTGTCTCCTGTGCTAGATTGTAAATGTCTGCCAGTCAGTGAGCATCTTAGAATTAGAATGATTGAATGGGAGCAGAGTACTATAACCCTGTGGAAATTGGGGATGGGGAGTGGAAGCTATCAGAGAAGAGTGACCCTTAGGGCTGCATGTATGTGTAGCTCAGTGGTAGAGGGCTTTGCTGATGCATGAGGCCCTGGATTTAGTCCCCAACACCACAAAAAGGGTTAGGAGGTACTTTTTTTCCCCAGTTAATAGAGGTGCACTGTTATGCCATCCTTCTTCATTCTGAAAAACAGAATGAGTGTGAACAGTGACTAACTCATTTTGAATCAGTTCATTCCTCTTTTCTATGGAACATTTGCCACTTAACACTGGTTAAAATGGTGTTTAAGAGTGTAAAAGAAACACATCTTCTTGCAGAGCACATTCACTGTCTTATTTGGACACACGTTATAAATGAGGAAAATAAGACTGAGAATGTTCAGTAAACCACCATGACCTCGAACCAGAATTAATTCTCAATTCTCACTTAGCAGACCTGGGAGCAATGATTTGGCCTTTGCCTGCCTGGCAGTGTTGTTACAAGCTTGTGAGTATATGTCTGTGTGTGCATGCACAGCAAACTGCATAGGTTCTCTATAAGTGGTAGCTATTGTGCTTTCAGGGAGTCCAGCGAATTTGCATTGGAAGATTGTCCTGGGGGTTCTCTAAAGTTCTTTTCAGTTTAGGATTTATGGCTCAGTTATACTTTATGGTTTCATTCATCCATCCTTAGAAGAAATTGTAAGATATCACTCATTTAATTTTTTCTTCATTTTCTGGTCCTTATTCTTGACGTAGCTTTCATAGTAAAATGTATGGGAGAGCATGGGGCTAAGTTTTACTTAATATGTTTGTCTTCTTTTTTCATTAACAGTCTCTGATATTTGACGAAGTTGACCTCTCAGATGCCAGTGTAGCTGAAGCAAGCACAAAAAATGCTAACAACAGCTTCACGGTATGGACATATTCTATTAACTCCCTATGCAAAGGGTGTAAAATGGTCTTTCCTGAGTTTATATAGATGCCCAGTTCAGTTATCAACAGTGTGTCAACTTATGTGTGTTGGGCTTTTTATTAAAACAAGAAAATCTGATAAGTACATTGTACATTCTAATACCAAGTATCATTGTACATTCTAATACTCAGTATTATTCACGATCAATTAGCCCAGTAAACTTGGGTTTAATTGTTTTTTTTGTTGTTGTTTTAATTTTAATTTTAGTGCTTTAAATTAATACTTCGATTAATTCCATTGTCATTTGAATATGTAAAAACTTTGTTACTCATCAACAGTCTTAAAAATAATATTTTCTCCTTCTCTCCCGTTTTTACTCCTGTTGCTGTTGTTCAGGAAGTTGCCACAGTTCAGGCCTTCATTTCTTCTCACTTAGTTCATTCATTCAAGAGCTGTTTAAGAGGTGTCTTCTGTTCCAGTTTCTTCTTTTCCGATCACAAATGACTTCTTTTTAAAAAAAACTGAACTTGTTCCCCATTGCATGTATAGTACAACCCCAACTCAGAGGGAAAGCCTTGTAATATCCTGCCTCAGCCTCACAGAGTTCCTGACATTATTGGTCCTTATGCGTCCCACCCCTGGGGCAACTTCTGCCTGAGCTTTTCCTGTTCCCTTGACTTGAATGATTCCTCCTCCTTCTGCAGCTGTTGAAATCCTATCAGTTCTTCAGACTTATTCCAGGTATCCCATTCTTCTTTTATTTCTTTAATTCAAAAAAATATAAATTGAGTGGCTACTGTGTGCCAGGCACTAATGCTAAACACAAGAAACTCAGAGATGTATGTATATGCGTCTGTCTATAATTTCCCTTCAGATCTTCACAGTTCAGTGAAGCTCATGTGGGGTCCCATTTATAACTGCACATTCCTTAGCTCCCCTAAGATGCTTTGCTTCTGTCACACTCCCAATCCCCACCCCGAGAAGCCACTACCACTGCTGACACTAGTGGGCTATGTCCATCCTCTGGGCATGCCACGGCAGGGGGGACAGCCAGATAAACAAATACAGAGAGCTCTGTAGAGGGAGAAGTGAGGGATGGAGGTGAGTGCTGGTAGAGGGAAGGGTAAGGGAGGAAGCAAACAAATTCAGATTTAGTCTTATTGATTTATGGGCATGAGGGATAATTCATAGTGTAAATATTCCTCTCCCTCTCCCCCTTCCCCAGGGAGAGTTTAGTTTAAGAAGAGGAAAGCCCAGAATAGAATCCTGGGAAAATGTTAAAATGTAAGATCTGAGCAGTGGAGACTGAGAGCTTTCTTAAGTAAAGGAGAGCTGGGAAGGAGTGATGTTATAAAAACCCAAAGGGGGACCGTTTTAAGATGGAAGTTGTAGAGGGTCAAGTCAAAGAACTGAAAAGTGGTGATTGAATTTGTGAACTCATTTGCCTTGTTGACATGAGTTGCTTTGGTGGAGGGGTAGCACCCACTTGGCTACTCTAGGAATGCAAAGTAAAAAGGCAGACAGAGCTAGCTTTTTTCTAAAGCTTGGCTGTTAAAAGGATGACAGGTACAGCTAGAAGAATGTCTAGGGTAGAAGAGAGTTGTGGTTTTGTTGTTCTTTTGCTTTGTTTTTAAAGAGGGTTTTGAAGAGAGGAAAAAACTGGTGGAACCAAGTGTCAAAGACTCAGGACAGAGAGAGACTAATTAATTGATGGAGCAAAGTCATCAAGTAAGGTGAAGGGCGCAGGCCTCAGAGCACAGGTTAAGAGCTAGCACTGAACAGGGCAGGAAGGCTTTTGGAGGCCTGAGGCTCTTGTACGTCAATCCCAAATACTACCCTGTTCTCAGTGAAATTGAAGGCTAAGGGTATCTGCTGTGAGAGTTCAGGAAGGTTTGGAATGGCTTCTACAGAGCATTGAAAATGAACAGAGATTACTAAGTAGTCAATAGAGTCCTGCAAAGATTAAAGAACCCTTTTTGTAATGTTCCTAATCCCTATGCTTATTAAATATTCTTTAAATGACATTAGAGAACAATTGAATTGATCCAAGTTGGTGGTTTATAGGTCATTTTGGACAGAAAGAGAAAGGGATTGCTGGGTGTTTGGGGGAATGAATAATTCATCCATCTTTCCCCCCTCTGCATTCTCAGCTTTGGAGAATAAAATGCAAGGTAGTCAGATACTACTTTGTTGTTTCCAGTTCCTATTGAATTCAGGGCTTCTCAAAAATTGTTGGAGGCCTAAGGTGGAAATGTGGCTCATTCCTCCTTCCTCCCCGGTGAAGGAATGGGAGGGTGGAGGAAAGAACCTCGAAGCCCTACCATCTAGATCAGCCACTTGTTTCCCCTGGGGAAGAAACAGTAGTTCTGTCCTCTATAGGGACTTGTGGAGGTGGGGACAAGGGTTCCCCCTAACAGGGAACCAGAGTTAATCTGAAAGAGGGTTTCAAATTTGAAGAATGGGATAATTTTAGGTGAAGACAAGGTCTAGGGCTTGGATTAAAGGCAAGGGGAACTGAAGAAGCTGAGTTTGGGGAGGTTTTCATATTTTTTCTACATACAGCTCTTTCTTGTCCTCCAACTATGTGTGGTCTCTCCTGTTATATGTTTCTTATAGAATCTACATATTGTGCTTTATGCTTAGCTAAGCATGTATTTTTATTACAAGCTCTGCTAGACCTTATAAATATTGTTGATTTTAATTAATAAGTTGAGAGTTCTTTTTTTAGGCTTGGGAAGACTTGTTTTGTTGAAATATTTTCAAGAAGTTTCTTCATTCAGCCAAATGTTATTTCTGAAGTTTGCCCTCCTAGAAATGTAGGGACTAATACTTTTTGCAGATTGCTTAGGGTTTTTACAGCAAATGGATCTGATAAAACATTCAAGGGTGTAAAATGGAGAAAAAGGCATGTTCTCAACTGATAATTGACTATCTTCCCTGTCTTTAAATATTTAAATATCCTGCCTTTCTAGATTATGGTGCTGTTATTTTAGCTATTGTAGGTCAGAGGTTAATGTTGAGGCGTGATAGTGTCATGTCTGAAGAATCCAGGGATGGTCAAATCCTGCTTCTTTATAGCTGTCCCTCTTCTGCTTGAAGTCCCTCAGGATGATCTACTGATGAGGATAGTAGGATGTGGAAAATCTATAAATAGTAAGTAGAAAATAGACAACTTATGTTTTGCCTGAAAATCCACTGCTGAACTCTATAAAATGGGTTCCAGGGAGCAGGGTAGCAACTGGCCTAACCCAGTAGCTGCTCAGAATTATCTACTGCTTTTGATTGGTATGAGCAAATCACTGAAGCTAGTCCCACTGCGAGTGGAAGGGACTTAGACAACAAGACAGTAGTGTCACAGGATTTGTAGGCATGATTTAAAATGTATATACAGCATGACTTATTTTCCTTTCTTCCATAGTCTCCCTCTCCCAACTTGAGTTAATAATTGTCTTGTTTTTCAGTTGTCTAAATCATCTAGGGTATTGTATTAGTTTTCTATGACTATAATAAACTACTACAAACATAGTGGCTTATAACAAAGCTCATTTATTTCAAAATTTCTGTAGGTTACACAGCATAGTCAGGTTTCTCTTCTCCAGATCTTACAATATTGAAATAATTGTATATAATAAATTCAAACATGTACACACACACACAAATACAAACCAGTTTTTAATTGTCTTCAATTGGGCTACTTTTGATCACAGTTTAATTTTGTGGTTTTGAGGATCTTCTGCAGTAGGTAACAACAAACCTGCTAACATTTAAGGCATTTGTGAAGTTAGGTGGCATTGATGGGAGTAGGGAATAGAAAGGGACAATCCCTACTCTCCTTATGGTCATTTTACGAGTATTTAGGTTTATGTTCATTAATTTACTTGTAGTTTAAGTTCTACCATGACATTTTCTATGATTGTGAGGGTCTTTATATATTATTCTTTTTTGTTACGCATTACAAATTATTTTCCTTTTAGTTGAATGATATCTATATGGTGTTTTGGAGTTTTCGTTTTCATTATTACATTTTCTCATTAACACCCCTATGCTGTATGTGAATGTTGTCTTTTATAATCACCTGAAAAGAATTGATTTCCCCTGGGTCACACTGGTGCCACCTGGGAAAGGGCTCCAGACTTCCCGATGGCCAATGTAGGGCCCTTACCTATCACGCAGCATTCCTTCCACCTTATACTATGATTTTTACATCTGCTTTTCTTTTTTCTCTCTTTTCTTCCTCTCTCTCTCTTTTTAATTCATTGGCTTTTATTTATTTTTATTTGTTCTTTTTAGATACAATTACAGTAGAATATATTTTGACATAGTATACATATATGGAGTATAACTTATTCTATTTAGGATCCCATCGTGTGGTTGTACGTGATGTGGAGATTCACTGGTGGTGTATTCATATATGAACATAGGAAAGTTATGTCCAATTCATTCCACTATCTTTCCTATTCTGTTCCCCATCTCTTCCTTTCATTACCCTTTATTTAATCCACTGAACATCTTTCCTTCCATATCCTGTGCTCTCTTTGTCTTTTTCTTGCTAATCAGGAGTGTATATGCCCATTTTTTAAATTTATTAAATTGCAGAGGATAGGAGCTCAGATTATGAAGTCAAATAGCCTCGATTTGGATCTTGGCTCAGCCAGTTTTGTGGCCTTGTACATATGTATTAGCACTTTAAATTCAAGTTTCTCACCTGTATTGAGGATAACAATAGTATCTGCTCCTTAGGGTTATGAGGATCAAATCAGTTGTGAGAACACACTAAACTACTTAGTGTGGTGATCAGCACATGCAGTTTAACTAATGCTCGTGGCTATTACTATCCTGATTGTGTCATCCTTCTATTTCCTTCACAAGTAGCACCATGTTGCCAAATTCTAAAAGTTTGGGAATTTTGAAGGAATGTGTGGATGAACTTTCCTTTTTAAAAATTCTTTTATTCTAATTTGTTATATATGACAGCGGAATGCATTACAATTCATATTACA